GGACCCCCCCAAACAGACGGCCCCAGGACCTCGACTTTGTGTTTGCGGTCGCGGCCAAAGGAAAGGAAGGGGAGTGAGGGAAGCGAAAAAAAAAAAAAACATTCCTAAGCGCGTAAAACCGGGAAACCCAGGGCGGCCCTTCCCGCGTTGTTGTTTTCTGGTTCGTTCCACCAGGGCAGGTAACATGACCTTCAAACCCAACGCTTACTACCTCATTTACTAATCCCTGAAACTTTTAGAACCAACCAGAGAGAATAGAGATACACAAATGTCGCAAACAGAGACAATGATCGAGAGATTACAACAAAAAAAAAACGGTAAAAGATGGTAAGAAAATTTTTTTATGACTTTAATTTACTTCACTTTTAGTTGGGAGAGAGACCTCTTGTTGAAACTAAAGAGACAGAACACTAGAACGTCAGAAACGTCAAACGAGGAGGTGGACATTGTAGTGACGGGGAGGTGGACGGTATGTACATCCAATATGTATACTAAATATATATAATATAGTAGGGTTTTGGGGGGGAGCAGAGAGCTTTTGGGTGAGGAGAGCCGGGGTTGGAGGATGGGTCTCAAGTACAATCCAAAGGGGTGACATATTTTGATGGTGTCTCTTGGCCCCCCATACCACATTATAATCTTTTTATCTCATTTTCTTTTTATCTCCTGAGCCCTGACCTACCTCTCTCTCTCTCTCTCTCTCTCTCTCGTTTCCTGCCTTCTCTCTTCACCCTATTTTTAAAGAAGTATCTCAACTTCTCCTGGGTTTCTCCTCAGGCTAGGTTAAAGGACATGAACACCACAGCTCCTCTCGTCTCCAGACAGAGGAAGGGCGGGCGAGGGGGAAAGGAGAAAGAAACAGTTGCTCTCTTTTTCATCTTCACTCTCCTCCCCCCTCCAGTAAAATACAGAAGGATTTGAGTTGAGGAAACATGAAAGAGGCTTATACCAGAGTCCGCTTTGAACCTCTCCAAAAAGAAAAAAAAGAACTGTTTCCCCCCTCAATTTAGGGATCTTCTCTCCAATTTTGATTTATGCAGAAAGGCCTCATTTGTCAAGCAGGCTGAGTCAGTGCCTGATTTGCATAAAGCGTTCATTTTCTACGTTCTGCTAATTAGCAATTTGCAGCTTAATTGGAGAGTGGCTCTCGGTTAGGAGACAAAGCTATCCACATATAAAAATATCTCCAGATGTACTTTACGACACGACTGCATCTCTGTTGGCCTTTTTTCTCTATTATTCTCTATTCTGCTTTAGGTCGTTATTTTCCACTCACTTTTTCTTTATTGTAGAGTAACTTATATCACCTTCCTCTTCCTTATCTATTCATCTGAGTCAAGGTGCATGTACTGTTATTCTGGTAAATGTGGCTTTAACCATGCTTTAGTCATGTTACTGTTCAGTTTTTAAAACTTTTCAGTAAATTGTACTCTTCCCTCTGTCGCTGCATCGTATTCATGCAGAGCAGACATCTGTTTTCAGCAAAGAAGTTCTAAAAACACACGGCACCCTACTTGCTCCTCACCAGACAGACTGATGGAGACCGGTAGTGACCAGCCACTTTTGAACAGTGGAGCATTTAGCTGCTAAAGAGTGAGCGAAGAGAGAGAAAATATTCAGCTATATTCATCAGGTGGACACAGTGACACCTCCTAAGTAATATTAATGTTGCTTTTTGTCTGCTGGATGTGTAAAAAGGCTACTTTTTGCTAAATTCGCCAAACAAAGTACAAAGATGCATCGGCACATTTTTTTGTGAATGCCCCACAAAGTTGCAGGTTTAATCTCTATGAAAGTACCTTGTTGGTTTACTCACTGGAGGTCAACGCTTCCAAAAAAAAAGCATTTAATTTCTTTATTCTTTTATTACTTACTGACAACCATCAATTAAAATTGAAAACTCAATGTTGTCTTTCTTTGTTTCCCAGTGTTCGAGGAGCCTTCCTACTTCACCTGCCAGCAATGTGAAGGTGTGTTTCCATCGGCCTGGGCGCTCCTACAGCACGCTCAGCACACACACTCCTTCAGCATCTACCAAGTGGACGAGGAGGACCACACAGACATGAGAAGAGGAAGAGGAGGACTTCGAGGGCGCAAGCCTGCCGCAGCCACTCTGGACCCTCGCCACCTGAGCCAAGCTCTTGCTTCTGCTTTTCAGCCCAACGCCCTGCGCCTCAGTCACTCCCGTCAGACACACACCCCCACACACACCCCCTCCTCCTCCATCAGTAACATGCAGGCTCTGAACTTTTCAGTGCGGCTCAGGGAGCTCGCAGAGGGGAACAACCACACCATGGGCAGCTCCCCCGGAGGCCTGCTGCTGTCTCCGTCTTCTTCTCCACTAGCAGCTTGTCCCTTTCCTCTGAACAGCGGCCTCCAGTCTGACCACCACTGTGAGCTGTGTGACCAGAACTTCCTGTCCCTTCGCGCCCTGTCGGCCCACCGCCGCACTCACTCCTGCGACAAGCCCTATCACTGCGGAGTGTGCAGGACGGCCTTCTCCCAGAGCGGGCAGCTGGCACGGCACATCAGGAACCATCACAGGGACGCTGGGGGAGCAGGAAGTAGATATGAGTCGTTGGAGATGGTCGTGACGGAGGACGACATAGGGGGTCATGGGATGAGAGGGAGATTTCAAATGCAGCCGGCTGGGGTCGCCATGGGGAAGAGAGGGGTGGGTGCAGAGGTGAGGGCCCCCGAGTTAGACCTGACGCTGCCCAAACACCCGTCCATAGCTTCAGGCCTGATGCTGCTGACCTCGCAGGTCAGACCGCCGGACAGGGAGCTGCTGAGGCTGTACCAGCGCCAGAGAGAGGGGGCCGAGGGAGGGGAGGAGGAGGCAGAGGGGCAGGGGGAGGCTCAGCACACCTCACCCTGCGCCAGCCCCTCCGAAGGCTCACTGGAGAGTGGAGAGACCGGGGGCAGTGGAGAGAGCGGCATCGCCAGCGGAAACTGCACGCCCAAACGGCCCGAGATGAGCGACAGAGTGCGAGGAGTCGGCGAGTGGGAGAGCGAAAGAGGGGAGATCATAGAGAGGGAGACGGACTGGGGCTCAGACGAAGTCAGCGAGGTGGTGCAGGAGTGGCAGAGGGAGAATGAGCGGAGGACTGTTGGAGGGAGTGGTGGAGGAAACAACAACAGCACTGCTGCCGGATCAGCTGGTAGGAAGAAGAAAGACGAAGCCTGCGAGTACTGCGGTAAACAGTTCAGGAACAGCAGCAACCTCACGGTGCACCGGCGCAGCCACACCGGAGAGAGACCCTACCGCTGCGGCCTCTGCAATTACGCCTGCGCCCAGAGCTCAAAGCTAACGCGCCACATGAAGACTCACGGCGCGCAGGGGGCCAAGGCGTCCTTTCTGTGCCAGCTGTGCTCCGTGCCCTTCACCGTCTACGCCACTCTGGAGAAACACCTGAAGAAGGTCCACGGTCTGAGCCATGCCAGCGTGGGAGCGTACGCTCAGGCCAGCGCTGCGGACACTTTAGCTGCCATGAAAGCTGACGGAGATACAGTGGTGGTGAAAATGGAGGAGGATGAAGCCAGTTTGGATCAGATAGAAACGGAGAGCAGAGTTCAGAGTGATGTGGTGAAAGGCATGGAGATGGAGGAGGTGCTGAGCCAAGAGGAGTTTGTGGAAGAAAGGGGGGGGAGTCCAGCCATAGTGTCTGACCTCCCACCTGAGAGCAACGCAGAGTTGAGCTTAGCTTTGACTTCTGCGCCATGACAGCTGTTCTCAATCACTAATTGACTTTCAAATAGCACTGTGTAGGATTTGAGTTATCATAAAATAATTCCCCCCATCATTGAATGGATAGTTGAACTGGAATGGAGTTTGAAGAAGAATCTGAAGCAGCTCTCTGCCAGCGCCGAGACATACAGCAGCCCCGGTGTTCGTGATCGTATGCAAAGCTGCTGGGTGAAACTAAGTGCCTACAGTTATTTAGACCACAGAGCAAAAACAAGGCTATGACATTCAGCAGGGAGATTACCAGCGCTCTCGAACAGGAAGTGAACCGCCACAGTCCACACAGACACAGGAAACCGATCACCATGTTGCAGTGCAGGATGCAAAAGACAAGTGATTTATTTCTCTGGCAACCCACTGGACAGGTGGAGACAGATATTTACTGTCAGATAATGTAAGAAAGAGATTATATTAAAAAATAAATGCTGAGCAATAGAATGATGTTAATATATTTTCAGCAAAAAGAGAAAGGTCTTATTGTGTTTCCTAGCTGTTGCTGGTTTTCTTTTGAGAAGACCTTTTAAAGACTAAAGATGTTCAAACAGCCACATGGGTCAAATGAATCCAAACACTGTCTGCCTGCAGTTTCTCAGACTCCTCTTTTTAAAGGCGCTTGGTTGTCACAACACTTGTCACTTAACGTAATGTTTACAGGGCTCACGGAGCCTGGTAAGATCGGGATCCTGACTTTGTGACAGTATGTATGGATGATTTTCTGTTTTCTAGTTTTATAAATGTGAATAAGGAGACTTTAAAGTCTCATCTACTGCTGTGTTTCTTTTCATCCATGGTTTGTTTTCTATGCATACGCAATTTTACCTTCATGTGAAACGGGTGTCATTATTTTTCTCTATTTGTACTTGTGATGGTAATTTCTCTCTCTCATTGTTTACATTTGTAAAGTGCCGGACTGCTTTAAGCTTGTGCATGTTTTTGCCGCCATTTGAACTGTTCTTTTTTGTTGACTGTGTTTGAATTATTCCTAATTTATGGATGCTGCATGTTGGTGATTGTGTAACTGCTGACATACAGGGTTGAGAGGTGCAGGAGAAGCTAGCGGAGTTAGTGGGAAGCACTTGGCAGAGTTTGCGTGAATGTGTTTGTTTGTGTGTACATACTGGAGGGGGAATAAATCCTCAGGTGACACTTCTACTTGAACCCTCTCCTGTGATCTTGTGTCCAGAGCATGACTCAGCAGGTCATGATCACTGTGTCGTGCTTCTGGCAGGTGTGCCTGCCGACGAGGATCTATGGAAAGTTAAGCAAGAGGAAATCTGCTCATTTAACAACAAAAACAAAACAGGACAAAGTTTTCAAGTAAAGTGATGCCGATGTTTGTCGTGACTACTGTGATGAATACGTGTGAACATATCTGATTTCTACATGCATTCATGTCAGGGAATACAATTTCTTGTGTGTGTTGTGTGATGAATGGGTAAGAATGATTGCAGTGTAACTGTTCAGGGATAATATTTTGTACATAGATTGACATGCTTGCAGTTGCTATACTTGTTGTTGTTGTTATTATTAATATTATTATTATTAACTGCCTCCACTCCTAGCATCATCTTATTTCCGCTAAACACTGGCTATTGTGAAGATCCGCTGTCTTTGTAAACTTGACACCATTTTGTAATTCACCTTCTCATCAAGAGCCTCAATAAAGAATTGAGGTGAAATATAGTGTGTTGTGGAGTCTTATTCTGCTTGTGGTCGCTTTCCCCCAACATGTTTTCCCCCTTTCTTCTTCTAGAATTCAGAACAAAGCTTTGAAACTATTTTTAAGTGTCTTTTCTCACCAGAATGTTGTCTTAGTCAGAGTGGGTCATTCCTCTGAGGACCACAGTCAGCGCTGACTTATTAATTTTTAATGTGAGTGTTTGGATTAGGGACCCTCACTCCTTGTTTACATCCTTGTGATGTTACTGGCTTTGTTTGGAAACGCTGTAATGAAATTCCAACGGGTTGTGTATGCGAGTGTGTGTGCTAAACTGAATGTGTGTGTGTGTGTAGATGCATGTGAGCTGGTGTCACTCATCCAGCAGGTTGTGAGATGGGTGCAGCGAGCTGTGATGGGACACGGGCGACAAGGTTTTCTCAGGATACTAAATAGAGGAGGGGCAGTTTGGTTATTGTTTGTGGGCATGTTAGGAGGCAGAGCGGGGTGGGTGGGGAGTGTCAAGGGGTTGGGATAATTGCTGACTCCATTTTAAGGGCATAAAAAACCTCTGCACCAGCATCTCTGGCCTTAACCCCACCCCCAATCGGATGAAAATGAAGTTCTATGATCCCTCTAGCTCATTAACAGCAGGTCTTTTAATGAGCTTTCAACAGGGTGGGGGCTGGGTAAATGAAGTGGGGTTGGATGGTGGAGGGTATAATGTGTGGGGGGGTTATTGCACCAGATGCACACACGCCCACTACTACCAATTACCATTGTGTTTTACAGAATAAGGAGGAAGTGAAGACCGAAGCCCCTCAGACCCAGATGAGTCAGTTTTGTCCGTTTCTGTCCACAGAGACAGAGGACAGTATGGTGACATCCTCCTCTGGCAAACTCTGCCCTCCATGTCTCCCGGGCGCCACAGCGAGCGCCATTTGGTGCTCGTATGGACCCAATTATGTAAGGTAAGGTGATACACAGCAGAACACGGCACAGCAGCCCTCAAGCAAGTGGATATCTGTTCCACGTCCCACAGTGCCCTTTGTCTTCCTGCAGTCCACACCTCTCTGTCAAACCCTGCACAGGACAGTGTCGGCACCAAAACCAGCCAATCACAACACAGAGAGTTTATAATGTGTGCCAATAGGAGACTGAGACTGACACTGTGTGAGTGTGTATTGACCAGTGACTGCCCCTGGGCGGTAGTAACGTGGACTTTGAGATCTAGTAGTTGAGTCTCGGCTCCACAGAGAAAGCTTTTGTTGATGTGGAAGTTGGGAGAGGTCGATTTAGGACAGCGACACAACTAACACTCACACAGGGGATTTTAATATGCTACACACACTTGAACAACTTTTGCTAAGCAGTCTCTACCGCTTTAACAGGAATATATGTTGTGAGGAGAAAAATCATCTGGGATTTTAGGTTATTAAATTGTGAGGCAGTTTAAATGTTGTTCTGGCAGCATCTAAAAGGCTGCATTACTGATAAGTGAAACCAATGATCTAAATAATTTGGGCTATTTGTGAATTAAAAAGCAGAAACACTGAAAGCAACTGTTTACTTATCATATCACCAAGGCCATAACAAAGGCCTAAGAAAGTTTTATTGATGGCATTTATATTTATACTTAGGTCAAGTATCAAATATTTGTATAGGGATAACATTCTGGTGGCCAAATACTGAATCTGAAATGAAATATCCCCTATAGTAGATAAAGAAAGAAAGAACATGTAGCTCCTTCCAGGTGACAAAAAACACACCAAATTCACACCTAAATAAGAATTTGGTTGCTGAGGCAGCAATAATTTAATTACATTGCATTTAGCTGACGCTTTTATCCAAAGCGACTTACAATAAGTGCATTCGACCAGGAAGATACGCCTCAAGCATCATACATTATCAACAATAATGTTATAAAGTTATTGAGACAGAAATACTATGATTTCTGTCTCCAGTTATATTTTCTCCATCTAAAAATGTACTGAAATAGCCTTTTTATTCATTTTTTAATTAATTCAACTTATATTAATAACATTAGAGCAGTTCAATACAATAATAAAACAAACATTTAAAAATTGATTAAACTTACAAAAATGCGTACTAAAAAATATAATCGGCTTCACGAAATAGTCAATTGTCGACTCAATTAAAACTTTAAAATCATTTTTACTGCAGAAAAGTTCTAAGGAATGATCTTCCATTCACATTTTATGTTAAGTGGAAAAATGAATATTATAGTTTGACCCAGTACAGAACCTTGGGGAATACCACACTCCAGATATTCAGACGAGGACCCCACCAACAGCAAGTAACTGAATAACTGAGTTACTGAGAAATGTCATAAATTGGGTCAAAGTAAAGTTAGCAGCAATCACCTGCATCCTTTTCAGACCTGAAACTGTGCTGACTGAGCAATATGACAGCTCGACCTTGTGGGCAGTCTTTATAGACATGAAGTGCAATTTTCTGGCAGTACTAGCACACTTCAGATTCAATTTAAGATGATTAACTCTGAAAATGCTAACAACAAAGAGAATGTGAGAGCTCTGTGTTTGCTTTCCTGCAGGGCAGGCCTGTGGCCATAAAAGGCTCTCACTTATGTATGAGAAGATTGTGCTTTATCATGGAGAAAGCCAATTAACTGGGAGTTTTTAATTACATTTCTCATGGTGTACTGTGTTGAGCCTCCAATCATCTCTAGAGTCCCTGTCCTGTTGTCCTCTTCCTCCCCAGAATATTTGAGGAGGAGGAGGAGGCAGACGCTGAGGATTAAATCATCAGCAGGGCAGACTGGGACGGGGATAACAAGAAAGAGAAAGATGCTTTTGGGAGTGATCAGACGAACCACAGGACTCCCTCACTGCTCTTTATCCATGCACGGTTCTCACAATTCCCACCTCTTCTCGCCCCTCCCTCCTCCCGCAACGACCGCAGAGTGAAACCTGAACCCTGGTATTACACCCGCTTCACCTCTCCTCCCTCACCCTCCTAACCCCCCAACAGTGAGAGTGTGGGAGGACGGGGTGAGAGGTAACACATACCCGGGCAGCCATCCGCCAATGCTGTGCCTTTACTTGCCATTCAACACCTTCGGATAATGAGAGGATGGAAAGGCAAGAAGGGGTCATTCTTATTGAGGGTTATTATGTAATGCCGCTGATCACTGAGGAACAGCTCTGCAGGAGGGGTGTCAGTTCATTTAGATTTGATTGAAAGGAAGCATTGGCACTGCAGGACGTGTCGATTTAAAACAAAAGGGAGGAAGTTCTATGATTTCTCTTTTTTCACAGCATGAAGCAGTGCAACATCAAAAAGACAGAAATTGTTGCCAGATAATGATGGTGAAATAAACTTCAAAACTAACCCAAATAAATACAGCTCTACCATGAGTGAAGGACATGGGCTCGATTTCATTTAGCAGATTGTAAAGACAGACACAGAAAAGAATGCACACTCTTTTAACATAAACTGCCTCTTTGAAAGATGTTTTTTTAACGTAAAATAGCTTCAGAGTTCCTCTCAAAAATTCCTCATTGTTGCCACGTGACATTGATATATTTGTGAATCCAACAACTAACAAATGCTTCTACATTAGGACGATACAAAAAAAATACGTTATACATGTGTTGCCAAAAGTTTGCGATTCATTGGATTACTGTTCAAAAGATGCATAACAACATAAATGATAGGCCTACAGCGTAATACGATATCATTTGCTACATACAATACATGACACAAGGGAAACCAAAGGAATAGGGAACTACACTAAATTTCAATATAATGCTAAACTCACTTGAATAGACAATTTTGCTGCACAGTATTTGTGGCTGTTGCTCAGGAGCTAGAGCAGGAGTCAACTATTCAGGAGGCTGGTGGTTCGATCCCTGGCCCTTACAGTCAACCTGATCAAGTGCCCTTGTGCCAGAAACCAAACCCTACATTGCCCTGTGACTGTGAAGGTTTTAGCTCCTGATGAGCAGGTGGCATCTTGTATACTGGCCTCTGACACAAGTGCATGAGTGTGTGGTGAATGCTGGCTTTTGTTGGGAAACACATTGTATGGTAATTAGACAAAAAAGCCCTAAATAAATGCAGCCCATCTACTGCAACACGATATACAATAAAAAACTAAATTCACTACGCTTAATATGATACGATATGACACAATGCAACATTATACAATGGGATAAGACAATACAATACAACCTTGACCCACGATATACTCTGAACTCAACACAATAGAATGTGAGACAATGTGGCACAATACACTGAAATATGATGCAACGCTATGCAACACAATATCATTTGGTCATTCCAAGACTATGCAGTTACGGTACTTCGAAGAACTTTCTTTTATGACTTAAACCTATTTTGCTTGCTAACAATTACAATTTGGACGGAGCGTATTCACGACCACCTATTTGAGTGTTGTTCATACCGACGCATATCAAACATCCTGTAGGTGATCTAAGGTGAGTAGATGGTGTCCACCTGACAACCCTAACAACACCCTCAGTGCAACATTTGGATCAGTGTTAATAAAGATGTATCTTAAGGGCTTATTTGTTGTTTATGCCTCTTGAATGGACATTTGACTTGAATATTAACATATTTTTTAAACTTCCTGTTTACTTGCAAATGTCTCTACAAACCTACTACCGTTCATGCCTTAAGCTTCAAGGGTGAACGAAAGTGCAACCAAATCAAAGCCTAAAGAAGATAGACGATATATGAGGTAATCAAACATCTGTCGGCTCAAACGCTCTCTGACAAACTGTTTTCAAACGTCTGTTACTCTCTTTGTCTTTCATAAACACACACACATTACCCTGTTCTTGCTGCACCTGGTGACCCTCCTTGTGAACCTGACACAGACACACACACAGTTATTCAGTAGCTCTGGTAATTACACACACACACACACACACACACACACACACACACACACACACACACACACACACACACACACACACACACATTGTATTATTGTATTGTATGAGAGAGGTTCCAGGTTGAATTGAGGCGAATATTTGTAATGTCAGACACACACACATACACGTGCTTGTGCGCACACACACACACACACACACACACACACACACACACACACACACACACACATGCAAACCTCCATATTGAGGTCAGTCAGTTTTGTTTCTTGTCCAGCCCAGAAACGTCTCAAAATGCCAGAAAAACTGGATTGGAGCGTACACCCCTCCCCTCCCCTCACACAGTGCTGGGTTCAGAGGTGATGACTGGATAGCATGCATAGGAAGGTTAGAAGGTAGAGCTCAGTCTTGTGACAGGTGAAATGCTTTCATGTGCTGGCCTGAGGGCAGGTGAACTCCTGATTGCCCCTCGACCAGCATCTCCACATACAACAAATGTCCACTGTCACACCGGACATTTTTCATGTTGCATCCGTTTCACTGACCCTCGTTTCATGTTGAAGCTTGAGGCTGAAACTTTATCACTGCTAAATCTATAAAAAAAAATATTTGTTCAGAAACTGATGGAACTTTTTTTTATCATATTCTGCAAATTAATTAATTGGATTCGAAGGCATAATGTTTATCATAAAGTAGAAATAAAAGGCATCATAAAATAGTAAATCTCAAGTATAATAGAAGTATCTCCAAATGATACTCTGGTCAATTAAAAGTAGTTACTTTCCACAACTGTACCTAAAGAGCATTAATAAAATGGGCCGCTTTAGAATAATTTCAGAATGTATGACTAGAATATATTGTGATATTAAGGATATCAAACAAAAATGCCATTATTTCAGTGAGGGAAACAAAATATATGGTGTTTCTTACTGGCTACACCAAAAACTGGTTGCAGAAAATACAAGTTTCAGAAGTTTAAGTTTATTTATAGGAAAGATCAAATAAAGCCATGAGTTATAACATCAGAGAACAGGAATGTAAAAACAACCCACATATAGCCTATATGCAGGCCTATATTGAAGTTATCTCTCCATGGTGCTGCTGGGGGCTGATTGTCTGCTTCTCAGTCCGGTGATGTGTTTGAGTGATGCGGTAGAAAACCGGTCGGGACAAAGCCGGTTAACCAGCGGGGAGACAGAGAGGGGCCCCGGGTTTCTGGTGCGGGGTCGTGGGATCAGAGCGGGTCATGGAGGTGTGGGAGTGTCTGCTCGGCCCTCTGACCTTTGTCACTGAGGCTTCCTTTAATCCTGTCCTCAAAGACCATACGGACATAATGGAGAGCCCATGAATGGAGTTAAATGGTGACCATTAGGTGGATCTGTTTCGCTATTCTTCTTGTTTGTTTAGTCCAGGTCAGTCTCACGTTTTCAGGCTAATCAGGCGTGTGATGGAGGGACGGCTGGAGACGCCTGGAGAGGCCCGCGGTGAGCACCGCAGGACAACAGTTTACTGGAGATGGATATCCACCTAAATATAATGAATGGTACGACACAAGAGGGCCGAGAGAGGGGGGCGGAGGGGAGCAAGGGGGACGCTAATTGGATGTCCACTTCAGATGATTTGAGTCCCGACCAGAGTTCACAAGTGGTCCACACAGGAGGAGGCCAAAGACCCCTTCCAAAAACTGCTTGGTCAATTTAGGTATCACAGCAAAACAAGTCCCCATGAATAGTCTATTACACCGGTATTATTCTAAGGATGTCCACCTTAACACATTTAGACTCTCAATGAAGCACTGACAATACATTTTGTGGGAACACATTTCAAAATATCGATAAATTGGATTTGGCTAGATTTTTTTTCAGGAATGTGATAATATTGGAAGGTAAACTTATCAAATAAAAAGGTGAAATAATGTTCTTCCATTGGAATACATTTGGTTTTATAAAAAGATCTAGAAATACTAACTACAAACGTATAGGCTTACTGATAAAGGCCTTTCATCAGACAATGTTTTGGGTTTTCTTGTTTATAAATGTATCTTGCTCAGTCTTTAAAGTAACTTTCAATAAACCACCAACTCTCTGGTTGTAGAATTCAGTAAGTGATTAATAGAGTGTGTATAACAATTGTCTTTAATAATTAACAAGTTACTAAAACAGGGTCAGAGGTTTGTCCGAATAAATATAATAATAATCTGCATGTTTTTCCTGCAGTTATATCAATTTAGCAAACATTGACATACAACTGCTTATCGTTTTGCAAATGTATTAATGATGATCACTGCAGTAATATTAAAACACCTATGTCAATTATACAATAAAAAAACGAATAGACTTATTGTAGATAAATCAACTTTTTCACAATTTACCTATTTTCTCTCATCTAACAAGAGAAGGCATTTTTAGAGACATTTTAATTAGTAAGTTAAATCTGCCACAGTGAAAATTGTTTTTAAAGCTCACTTTATACCTCAGTTTTGTGTTGCAGAACACTTATTAAAGGACATTATTAGGCCTCTTCTATAGCTGACCAATTATACTGTCTATTGCAATTCAATCTGACATGAACCTCCTACATTTAATATTTAAACTCATTATTGTTGATTGCTTTTTCTTTAGATCTTGTATGAAGATACATTTCTCTACACAGCCTTATGTATAATCACACCAGCACCATGATTCACAGTAAACCAGCACATGTGTGTTTGTGGTCTGGTGCCTTTAAGTGGAGGAGACTGACACCTAGAGTCTCATGTGATGTACTGCAGGCTACATACTGCATCTAAGCAACCTTCTATTAGACACAACAATAACAAACAGAAGATCATTCAATGTGTCTGTCGATATTCTCCAGAGGTTAACATGTGGTTAATATCAGTTTCCTTAAAAGACAAGACGGATAGGTATTTCCTTGACACACACTTGAATTGCTTTTTGATCTAATTTCTCTATTTTTACATCATACGTAGCCTACCTAATTATTTGTTCAATTATTTTTATTTGCACCTCTTTCTATGTATTACAGCACTGATTGGTGCTTTTATATTCCTAAAATGTCTATGTCATAGGGCTTGAATGTGGTTCACTTTTATTCTGGAAATCCTTTAATCCAAGCTCTGTGTGCTTACATTTTTGTATTTAATAATGACGATATTCTGTGGTAAACATTGTTTTGCTTTGTTACAGCTGTTGTGTGCTTTGGATGAAGCTGTTGCCTCTTTTTGTCAGTATGATAGAATGGACGATAAATAAAAAGGGATCAAAGAGGCTTTTGGCACCGTGTCATTACTCCGACTCCAGCTCTCCTCGGCCCCCGGCGCTCTGCATACCTTTGCGGGCTGGGCAGAGCCGAGGAGTGTCCCTCTCTGGCTGCGGGGGGTGTGCGCTTTTTACTGTATTTAAGCACCAGCTGCTAACATATTGTGCGGATAAAGATTTTGACTGCAGATTCAGCATGGCGAACAACAAGAAGGCACCTCTTGGCTCCATCGAGAACCCGATCAAGTTCATGGATCAGGACTTCAAGTCTCTGCTGGAAGAGTGTCTGAAGTCCGGAAAGATGTTCGCTGACCCGACCTTCCTGGCGGAGCAGAAGTCCATTGGTTTACCGGAAGATGCGGATCCAAAGAAGGCGATCAAGTGGCAGCGACCCAAGGTAGATAAAGTTGTGCAAAGAGTTCCAGTTGCGTTTTTGGATTACATTCTAATCATTTATTCAACATCAGTTGTTGAAGAATCAATAACTATGCATGTCATGTTATAGCTTCCTCCACAGCCATAACAAAAAGGAATACATATTTGATAAAGTGCTGCTTCCATATCAAAAATATTCTGCTGGCACACTAACATTTTGTTTAAAACCAACGGAAGGTGTGTTCATTTGTTTAAGCCACTCATAATGTGAAATGTAATTTAGTATCTTGTTGGCTTTGCTTGCTCACAAAGACTCTATTTGCTGCTGAGGTGTAGAAAGCAACTGAAGGTGTGGCTCAGGTCTCCTGGAGCAGTTTCCTTTAGAGGGGCAAAATGTAACCAAATAATATCAGGAATAAAACTTTCATTAAAGTACTTTCATTAAAGTAATCTCCAAGCCAGAAAGCATTTTTGAGAGGTAAGGTACAACATAAGGAAAATGTTAATTTTAGCTGATATAATACATTACAAAGTAAAAAGGGATTAATAAGAATTAACAACAGGGCTGTCTTTAATGATACGTTTGAGTTAGTTTTAGTTTTATACATTTTATATGATTTATCTGTTTCCTTTTCTTCCTTGGTAAATGGTTTGGTTAATATAATCAGCATTTGATAATGTTTTCAAATTTTCGTAAATGTCTTAAAATGACTTGTTTTGTCCGACCACCAGTCCGTAAACAAGATATATTCAATTCAATATGTCATATATGATTAAATAAAACGAGAACATACTCATACTTAAGTAGCTGGAACTGGTGTTATTTTGGTATTTCAGTTTAAAGGAGGATTCAGGTTGTTATTATTATAATTTTAAGAAGTGTTAATTATTAATTATGTCGGATTGATTTATCCAATCATTTTTAAACCTTTTCTTAAAACGTCTTCTCTCATCACATGTACTAATGACGTTTGTGGTGTTAATCATGTTGTGCTCACATTTTCCTCTGCTCCTTGTGAAGGAAATCAGTGAGAATGCTGTGTTTGTGGAGGGCACGACTGGGACCACTGACATCTGTCAGGGCCAACTGGGTGAGTACACATCTGTAAAACTTCAACAAACACATTCATATCGGCCTCGCCCTCTGCTCATCTTCTCTACCGGAGTGATGAGGAACTGGCATGTGTCATGATGAATTGTCTTCAACTGGCATTCAACAACATTCTGGTGCAAAGTAAAATGCTGAACCCATTCAGTGGTTCATTTTATTCTAATGACTTAATTACAGTCAAATACAATGACTTCATCCAGAACTGGATGTCTGCACCGAACAGCTCCAGGGACCAAACTTCTATCACTCAGTGAGGGGGAAAGAGGAGAGGCACTCTGTGTTCCCTTAACTTTAAATCTGCGAGGGTCCAGTCCCTGTCTTCATCAGTCCTCACAAATCTCTCTTATTGTTTGTGGTGAACCACAAAAAAACAAACTTCCCTCCTCCCCTCTGAGATTTCTCAATTGATAGTTTATGATACCAGTTTATGGACATATTGTACTGATCAATACCAAACTCCTTGTTCCTCTTGCTCGTCTTCTTGTGTTTGAAGAAAGTATTTTCTTGCGACATCCAGGAACACAACATGTAACAGATGTTTTCTGTTGGAGAGGAATGTGGCCTATTAGGTTTTTGTGTGCGTGAGCCTGGTTCAAAGATCATTGACGAGAACATGGATTCTGCTTCATGGGAGACCAGTGCGTTCTGGGCTTTTATGTAAAAAACGAATCACTTATTATAAAGCACTAAGTATCTTCTCAGATGTGTTCATGTCAGCTTCTTGTGTGTATTCTTGTGAATCAGGTAACTGTTGGCTGCTGGCGTCGCTGTCCTGTCTCACCATGCACCCCAAACTCTTTGTGAAGGTGGTGCCGCCCAACCAAAGCCTGTCCAAGCCTTACGCAGGGATCTTCCATTTTAGGGTAAGTAGACTCCCAGCACTTTTCTTTCTGACGAGAAAAGTTGTAATTATCTCCCCAATCGAGTGAGTTGAGACTCACGCCTTGTTTGCTGCTGACCAACAAAAATAAGTCTTCCTCATATCCTTTATCGTTGCCCTGCAGCTCAATCTCACCCCCTGCCTTGTCTTAGCCTTAACGCATGATGCTTTAGGTCCTATATTCTTTAGGAAAACAAATTATTATTATAAGCTGTAATTGCATCTAAGTTTTAATCATTTATTGCACCTGCAAATAAGCGTTTTAGGTGGAAGTGTGGCTGATGCTTGATGCTTTAGACAAACAATCACATTTTGTGGTAATATGTTACTTTGTTTTGAAGTATGCACAATGTGAGAATGAAATCAACTGACACAATAGGGGTTTTTAAGGCAAAATGAGTTTCCTTAAAAGCAGTTATATTCTAAACAGTCCCTCTGGCTCATTACTTAAAGGGTTTAGTAGGTCTGTATCTGTTGAGATCCCTAATGACCTGAATTTTCTCTTTTTTGTTGTGTTTGGGACGTTGCTAGGCATCAACCTCTATGAAAACGTAGCGAGCAAGTGCCTTTAACATTATATTACATATAAAGTATAAAACACATTTCTGGGTGTGTTTGAAGCTCAATAAGTGCTGATCACAGGCCAAATATATAACAAAGTTTGTGTTGGTTTTAATCAATTATGTATTGAAGATCATTATAGATATTAAGTTGGATTTATTATTAACAACTAATTCACATGTTATGTAACTTCTTCTAAGCAAGGACTGATTCTCTGTCTCTAAAGTGATTCATATTCTATCTAATATGACATTTAGCCTATTGTCATTGAGCTGTATACTGCTTTAGGTGCCGTGCTTTTACAGATGCGTCATTTAATAACAGATCAAACAGGTATCAACTTATCCTGCAAATAGACAAAAGTGAAAACTAATCTTCACCTTATCAGAAGCTATTACATTTAGAGATCATGGACAGGCTCTGACTAGCACAGATACAATACATATGGCATTATTTGATGATTCAATCAGTTCAAAGCAAACACAGTCGTTAGATATGGATCATTATCTGCTCAGAAGTTATTTTCTCCAGAGTGTTGGACCTTCAGAGACTGTTAGGGAGATGAGACAAGACAAGACTTGACAAGCAGGGCAGAAGGATTGGAAAGTATTTATGCCTTGTCAGGGTGATGGGAGAGCAGTCCAGACATGCAGGCAGTGACTCCCCCTGACACACACACACACACACGTGCTTGTGCACACACACACACACACACACACACACACACACACACACACACACACACACACACACACACACACACACACACACACACACACACACACAGCTGTTGTGTACACCTTACAGTACACACCTTAAGTCATGGCCAGTATCTGCCTCGGTTGGTGGTTTAAAAAATGGAGGGTTTATTTAATGTGTCTTAAAAGCTTTCTTAATAAAACATGTGATACTGTACTAAGTATGTGAATAGCAGGTTTGCACAACAAGGCAATTTAAAGTGATTCAAATCACATAAGATGTAAAACAGAAATCAGTATAATGTGCCAAAAGTTAGATGATCTTTCCTATCTCATGTTAGATGAAGTTTGGATAAACGTATATATATATATATATATATATTTGTCTGTTATATATATATATATATGTATATATATACATACGTAAGGCCATGTCCACTGGGTGGATATAAT